AAAAAAAAAAAAAAAAAAAAAAAAAAAAATCGAAATCAAGAAATTAAAATTAATTTGTTCAAAACAAAAAGTGTCAAAAACTAAAACAAAGTTAAATCGACCTCAACATACCATTAAAACATGGGCACAAAACCTAACGGTCGCGGCACTGAACCTACCTGAAGCATAACCACAGCACATAATAACAAGAAAAGCAATCCTCGGGCTAGTAACACAGAACGTAAAACCACATAGACAACCTCGATAACAGAAAACATATGGATAAACTTTTGATTTTTGTTGGATAAAAAGATAGAATAAATACAACCCCCTCCTACCCTGACTGTACCCGTTAACAAATCTACGCAAATATCAATCCAAGACATTCATAGAGCAAACACTAGTGACTTTCACACTAAAGAACTGACCCCACACCCCACTCTGTTACTTTACCACCACTACTTTGTTCTGAGACATCACCAAAAAAGATATCACCCCCTACATAAAACCAAAAACAAATACGAAATGTAAATTCAAAATCTCCTTACTAAGAAAATTCGATAGATATAGCTGCCATACCAATCTAGTGCTCCCACAAATTATGGCTCTACCTATCTAATAACCACCTCGTAACGAAACATGTGCAGGATGAAGACAGCATCCTCATGGGCTGGCACCCGGAACTCGCCGCCGTAATAAGGCCCTTCTCAGCATTACAGCCGTCAAACGTGCACTGCCAGATAGCCATGCTCGCCATCCCCGCGGACGTCCTTCTGCAAGTTTATGAGGCCACGTTGGGACAGACTCCATTCCTGATTGAAAACCTTTCATTCAGTGATTGGGCCTCCCTCGTCGCCGTCATGCAGAACAAGCCGGAAGAACTAGACAACAAAATCCGAGAGTTTGCAAGCAATATCGCCGAAGTCTGCAGGAAATCAACAATCGAGAATAGAGAGCTGAACCTCATCATCGCCAAGGCCGAGAAGATCATCCTCGAGCTGCACGGCTATGATGCTTCGCACCTAGACTCCGCTGGACAGGTTTCCATTGCTGAGAGAAGCRAAACCTTCAGCGACGCATACATCAATCGCATGTCCCTCTCACAGGTCGAACTAGAYTACCTCAAGAAGAAAGAAGCARAATGAAGAAGCAACGTGCACACCGAGATCACTCCGCTCACCAGAGACGCTGGACACAAGTTCACCAAGAACAGCCCCTTCCTGCCACTAGCATCCARCACCTGGACARAGAAAGCGGTGCAACGCGTAYACRACCGCTTATGGAAACTCGATACCTTCAACTATACTGCACCMATCAGCGTGGAGGCATACATGGCACTCGCGGGGCTMACCGAAGCAGACATAGACAACTGCCGAACAGCAGCAAGGAACGCCACCATCTACTTCCCTGCTACAAGAGGTGGACTGGATGCAGACTTCCCTCCCATCGCAAACCTCGAGAARGKGAAATGTCCAAGGAAACCTCTGCTTCAYCARAAAGGCATCCCGAAGTTCCCAGCGGACCTGGCCGAGCTCAAGAAGCTATGGAATGCCGACAGACCCTATCTGAAGTGCACTTGCCTCGGATGCRAAAAAAACTTCACGTGGTTCGACCATATGATATAGTATGTCATAGGCAACCTGGACAAAGTCGATCCGCGCGCACCTTCAGACAAGATCAGGATGCTGGAATTCCAAGCACTRCTTCGGACAACATGGAGGAAGCCGATCACRGCGCAGATCTCCTTCATCTTCATGCGAGAATATATGATCAAGATCGTCCACCTCATCACCCATAACAGAACCATCTCAGCTGAGGAGATCCTCAACTTTGAACAYTTCAKAAATGTACCGTTCGTACACAAATTCACTGTCGCGCTCCTRCCAAATGCTGAAGGTCTCCTGACGCAATCAGCAAATAGACGGAACCAATTTGACGTCGAAGATAACTCACTGAGAAGATGCCGACAGATGAGGCTTGGCAGCACACCARMTTCTACCGCCAMATTCACCAACCCAACCCGAACACCCACGAACACACCACTTCAACAAACACACAACGGCGCAGCACACRCAGAACACAGCAATGCCAYGCMCACCACTGCACAGCCAGTTACCATCACACCTTCCCGAGCTGCGCACACACCCACAGCTACCACTGCAGCTGGACACACCACCGCAATACCCACTGGACAACAGCACGCCCCTAAGAGGACAGTGCAACYCCTCACAGCAACAACCACACCARCCGCAAACCGCAACACTYCAACAAACGCCAATGCCCACACARCACAAACCATGCACACAAGCATTACACCCAACCGGGACGACAACGCMRCACCCGCACCGAGTACACAACCCCAGAATCTTCACATGAACACCACCCATGGAGCAACATTCCACGGTTTTGGAACTGCTCAACTCACAGGCAATGCCTTCGCCATCGCTGCTGCACAGCTAGCAGCACGCCAATGCAGCCCACTCACCGTCGCTAACGCCGCCTTCAGAAGCAACCTCCCCGCACTGCACACTGCACACATTAGCCCCAATGTCCTGAATCACAACACAACTGTGCACACAGCAACAGCAGGCCTGGCTTGTACTGAAGCAAAAAGACTGGCATGAAGGCGAGAGCAACTTCTGAGCATTGCCATGAATCCACTACCTGAGCCACAAAGAGCAAAGACCAGAAGAGGCAGGAAAACTCAAAGTTCATGGCAGCTCTAGAGGGGGCGCAGACCAGAAGACAGACGAGGAAGAAAGCTGCACAGTATGATCAACGACAACCAGACATTTATGACATGCTCATGGCCCAACAGCAACGACAAATGATAGCAACAACACAACAGCAAGCGCAGTCGCTAGAACAGTCTGGCACAACACACGCTCAGGCACAGACCAACCTTCCTGTGCAACCAGATGCCAACCACGATTGGGCACCACATACGGAACATATCTTACGGCAATGGGTTCACAACGGAACAATCGCTGAACTCCCCACTGCCAGACAAGAAGCCCCTGAAGATCGAGAGGTAATCCAAGTCAGCAGTGACGACTTCAATGAGGGAGAGAGGAGGCAGCTCCCCATCACAATCAGCTCACCTTCGCCCGACATCCCGATGCGACCGGTCTCTGCGATCGATGCACTGAGGATGAACTACGGGGCCAGCAGCGCAGACTCCTCCCTGCTCCGAACAAACAGTGAAAACGCAGCTCTTGGAACCGAGTCGCAATCTTCTGAGGAGTCTTGGAAACGTGTTTGCAGAAGGCTTAGCCCAGATTATCACTACAATATAACCAGCATCACTAGAAGCTAAGCAGGTATAAATCAGCTATATAAGGTCGCTAACTAGATCACGTACAGATGATACTTTGTAGTACAGGCACGCAGACACTTGGCTGCTACAAGCCAATCGGACTTGCTTAACAGCCCCACCCCCCCTACTTTTGCCTATAACACGTAGTTATTTATGGCAATTGGTAAGCTAAACCGCCTGAGGCTGCCGGCGCATAACTTTTTTTGAAGATATAAGTTCGGACCACTACAAGTTCTAAACTAACATTAGATTAAGTTGTTGTTTAGAACTCGATATTCTTTTTGATACCAGTAGACTTACGAATACAAATAGCCGAACCCGTTTTTAATGGCTGGATAAATCCGGGTGGAATTGTTGCGATCCCCCGCCTCATATGTGTTCTTCAGATAAATAAGAGACGCAATAATCGCAATATATATGTCCTTTGAGAAACAATTTTTACCTGTCTATGAGTACGTATGGATTTCTGGGTAAGCGAGTATCTGTGTCTTTGGGTCTATCCGTACGTCTGTATGAATGCAGTGGACGACAAAAGTGAGTCTGTGCCCGAGTGTCGTTGGTTGTGTGTTTAAGTATGCCTGAGTGAGTCTGTGGGTATGAAGGTGCACCTGTGAGTCGGTCGCTGTGTCCGTTTGAGAAGTTTATACGTGCGGTAACGTATGGTGCTGCGTATCTGGGTGTATATCTCAGTACGTCTACGCATGTGTTTGTTCTGCTTCTCTGCATGACCACGTCCTCCAACTATGCGTATGTGGTGTGATCTGGCTATCTGTGAATGCAAGAAATTCAGGTGGGTGGATGCCCACATGAGCATGGTGCTCTGGCTCCGCGTATGTATAACTGAGGGTACATCAGGGGATGAATGTGCGCATGTATGTCTGCCTGACTGGTTCTGCGACACCTAATGTGTATCAGTGTATGTGTGTACGTTAGTCTGTGTGCTTACGGGTGGCTGTGCGTGTGTGAGTGTGTGTGTCTGCGAGTGTATTGATCTGAGTAGATGACAGTGGGCCTTTGCGAGTGCCTGTGTATATGAATGCACGATGTAGGGATGTCCCTGTTGGCGCGTATTCATACGCGTATGTCTGAAGTGTGCCTGTGCGATTGTCTGAGTGAGAGCCTATATATAGGTATTTGCATGAAAAACATTTTGAATAACAATCCAGGCAAGCGCCAACGGTACATAACCATTGAAGAAAAACACCTTCGTTTACCTCCCAGCACACCTTCGACCAGAACTAATATACACACACCAAAACACGAGAATGTATCTGCAACTCTGCGAAAGACCACATGCTTCACCAAAAAACTTGCAAATTTTGCACACGTGAAAACCAATAAGGATTACCACTACCACACATACGCTGGAACATATACATCACATGCAGATACTGCCCCACGCAACTGAGACACGGCCTAACACATCTAGGACAATAGGCTATAAGTTTTTTTTATAAAAAATAATTAAAAATACAACCCCTCCTACCACCTCCCTCCACCTCCCCTGAAGCATGACTACAGAGAATTCAAAAGCACTCCCCACACCCCGGATTACTGGTAATAAATCAAAACTCTGTCGCCCAATTGTCTGTCAAATGTGCAGGTACAGCGACTTCAGACAATGGAGGATGAAAGGCTTGGTTGGAGATCAAGAAAGGAATCAAACAAACAGATCATCTCCTGCCACTATGCAAACCGGATAATGGACTGAATAAAATTCAAAAATATCTTTAAGGACATATTGCAAAAACATAACCCAGGAGTTGTACACCTCCTGGAAAAAAATCACCTTCTCATAGACATACAACGACCATATAGCCAAAACTTTATACAAACCTGCTGCGGTTTTTCGGGACTTCAAACTATCAACCTAGATAGAACAAATCCCGGAGAGATGCTTCTGCCAGCAACCCAGAGATAGACAATTTGCCAACGAACTCCCAGCAGACATGTTACCCGAAGGAAAACAACCACACGTCACTAGATTAGACCTTAATATCTCGAACAACGATAACCTACGAAGAATGATGAGAAATGGACTGAACCATATTCCACCCGCTCCACTAAATACAGAAGAGGTACTAGGTGGCGCTGAACAAGTATGGACTTAATTCACTCTAGCCCTCCTTAAAAAAGGTACACCACTAAATGACATACAAGAAAAACAGGCAAAAATAGACTTTAACAAAATAATCAATCAGAATCTCGAAAACATAACCACGCATAGAGTAATTAACCTTAACGAGCATGAGATCAAACACGAAATCAGCTTCTTAACTAAGTACTTCTACATATCCGGTGTCGATAAAGCACCCAACACCCTGGTAATCACCTGCATAAACCTTGTGAGATACCTCGCACTCCAAAACCTTAGCAGCCCTGATTTCGAACAGCATGCCTTGTCCGTTGCTGAACTACTAGAAATCATGAAACAACAACTAACAGTAAAGTTCCCAGACATTCCTATTGGGAAAATGGAAATACCCTACTTATTTGTCACAAATAAAAAACACAAGAATTCCTTTCGCTAGTTAACTAACGCAGCGGACGTCATCTCCACACCACTTGCTGATCTAACTGTTGCGGTGCTTGCGGCCTTGATCCGAAGTGTGAAAACCCACTGCGGCATACTAACACAGAAAATACTTACAGAAACAGGACTCAAAGTCCCTTTTTGGTGGTCGATAGATTCAACACCGGACGACACATACAACCTCACACAAAAAGTTTTCTCCGTCTTTTCTGCCGACATAGCACGCTGCTATGAAACAATCCCTATTGACGATAGCCAAGACGGCACCCGCCGCCATCCAATTCTTCTCTAAAATTGCCTTCAGACAGGCAAGAAAAACACACGGAAGAAACGTACAGCTAACCTGCAGAATGTATCAAAGCAAAGGAACATGGATTCCTCTTTGCGACTGGTATTCAAACCCACCAAACGGATATCTTACCTTAAATGACAACATTGTGCAAGAAATTAACAATTGGTTAATCAAAAATGCATATACATCCCTAGGGGGCAACATCTGGAGGCAGGTACTCGGCATCCCTATGGGGGTAAGTTGTTCACCAATATGGTGTAACATATACTTCTTTAAATATGAATTCAAATTCATGAAGAAGATGACACACAAAAGCAACAGGAACCTGCTGCAGCTGTTTCAACACGTCTTCCGCTACTTTGATGACTTCCRCATTATAAACAACCCCAGGATCAACGAGTTCTTCGACCCAGACATAACCWACCCTCGCAGYCGATATTTTCYGTACCCACTACACCTAATAACGCTAAATGAAACAACCACACAAAAAACACAAATAGATAACAAAAGCATCGGAACGCAAGCAAATTTCTTAAATACCACTATTACTATCACAAATCTGGAAACTGGGCAATATAACACAAACAAATATGAAAAGGGAAGAGAACTGAACTTTCCTATCACACGCTTTATTCAAGCCAAATCCAACAGACCACTCCAACAATCACTAAACCTATTAATACCACAAATCATCACCATCATGACCATCGAAACGGAACCACAACATGCTGCAAAAGAAATCATACTAACATTACGAACACTAGAGAACAACGGTTTCAGAAATCATAGACTCCCCGGAGTCGCAAGCAAAGTCCTAAACAACCCTATGGACTACCAACCCTTTCGATGCAACCCCCAGATGGTATTGCAACATTTAACAAATCAAAACCCCAACCCGCACGCAAAGTAAATACTAAGGATACACCATAACACACCATAACCAAAAAAAGGAACAACAACAGTAAGTGTGTGTAAGTCATCAAAACTGGCTTGGTTCGGATGAAGGACCTACCCCTGTTGGGGTAGTTTCAACATCTTTGACCCCACCATGACCTTCATCACGAGGGTACGGGAAGGGACACACACACACACACACACACACACACACACACATACAGATACACACATTTCCTTTTTAGGAGAAGAAATAATAATTAATAAACTATAATACATAAAATAAGAAAATAAGAAAATTAATTAAAAAATAATTAATAATTAATAATTAAATTAAAAAATGCAAACCCCAAACCACACTACAACATGTACTACACCTCACATACCTCACATAAACCACAACACGAACTCACTGAATAAAGACAACAATCTCAAACAGAATAAGAATTAACCGAAAACCTAGTGTGTGTGTAACAGCCTTAAAATAAAACAGGCTTGGTTCAGATGGAGGACCTATCCCAGCTGGGGTAGGTCCAACATCCATGGACCTACCCCAAAAGGGACCCCATCACGAGGGTACGGGGAGGGACACACACACACACACACACACACACACATACATTTTTTTTTAATTTTTTGTGTTTTATTAAAAAGGTTATTTTAAATAAATAAGACAAAATAAAAAATTAAAAAATAATAAAAAATAAATATATTAAAAAATATATAAATAAAAATAATTAAAAATATATATATATATAATTAAAAAAGTTAAAAAAGTAAAAAATAAAAAATATATATAATAAAATAAAATAAAATAATAAATAAATATGAGATAAAATAAATAAATAAAAATAATAAAAAATAAAAATATATATAAATATATATAAATAATAAAATAACATATAAAACATAATAATAAAATAAGAATACTAACCAAATCTTCCTTAATAAAATATTTTCAAGCATAGAAATAACCAAATTATATAAAAGGTATCTTTTAGACTCCATGCCGCACCAGCACCCCTTGCCACAAACCACCGAAGTAGAAAATAACACCCACTACAGCGATACTATACATAAGTAAGCAATGAGCTATTACGCCATAGAAAAGCACTACACACACCAGTTATGGGCCTGGTTAATAACTCGAGCTTTTCCAATTAAACGAAAGAATTTTCTTTACGCTTCAATATCTCCCCGCGTTCTTTCAACCTCGGCAGATAGCATGCCAGGTCGATAAAGACAAATACTGACACACATGAGAGAAAACATGCACACAAGGCAAACGAAACCGACACACCAGCACTATACTACCAGACAACCAGCAAAAAATGTTAATACTACCACCCATCTGTAATACACCTACACCGTGCAATCCCACGCGGTCATAAGGCACATTAGCCTGATACAACCCAGCAAGCAGCTTGCGAACAAGGATTCTCGTTCCTTCCCTTCCCCCTCCCCCCCGCATAGAATCCTACTGCTACACACACCCTCATGCATGATTCGCCCTCATCTACAACCACAATCACCTACCATTTATTTGTTTTTTTTTAAAAACAACTACGGACGAAAAATGGCGCCAACCATATACACACCTTCTCGAAACAACTCTACTGATGCACGCACAAGAAAACAAACGCACGAGGGAAACGAACTAGATACGCCATGCCCTACTACTACCATAGCTAGTCCTCCTACCTAAATGACGAAAACGCTAACACCACTATGCTAAAAGACAACCAGCAGAATAGGATACTGCACGCCCGCCACCTGCTTGGGCTTATAACGCTAGCGCCTTACCTACTCACAACGTCACTAGGCACATGCCTTCCGCAACCCTGCCATTAATCTGCAAAAAAAACCCTCTTTTTCGACCTCTGGTATATTCTCTCTCCCCCTAATACAAACTTATCACACATGCTCCCCGACAATGCAGCTAATACCCCCACCCCCCACTTATCCCTACCCATATACTTACTCCCTTACCACAAACCGCAACATGACGGGCCACGCTGCACACCCATGGCATGTGCACTATCACCCTCCCGTGCGTTACAAGCTGATACATGCATATACCAGCAGTGCTATAAATATTGGCTGGTATGTGCTACAACACAGCAATGCCTGTATACATGCTCCCGCATCCTGCCGACATCTCCCTTCTCCTTCCGCGCTCGAGTAAGGCTGCTCGCGAAGCTGATCCTGCTACCTTGGTTGGGACAGGCGCACCTCTGTGCCCCGGGCGCTCTGCTCACTTTGTAAGCCATCTGATACTACGCTGCGTGGCCACTTTCGCGCTATGGCGGCGGCTGATCTCCCAACGACCCTGGCCATGACCACTCAGGTTTGAATTCGCTAACAGTAATTCCCCCTAAAAAGCTTTTTGCCATGTTAAAAAAAATCCCCCACCCCCTACCCATGTACTAACAGGAGCACTTCACTAAGTTAACCCCTCTGATGAGCTGCTATGGGTGCTAGGCGGTGAAAAGCGCGCTAAAGGGCGTTCACCCCCCCTATGGTTGGGTCCTCAAACCCTCTCCTAACCCTTACTAACCTGACTAACGCTAATCCTAACTGCTCCATAAAACTTTCACATTGTTGTGTGAAAACCGTGTGTGACTAAAAGGACTAACTGGCTATGTCTACTGTCCCAATTCTTGGGATAGCTGTGTATTTACACAACCCACCCCCCCCCCCCCCCCC